AGTGGCCCTAAGGGCCTCGCTCCACTCATCAGCACTTGCAGAAAAGAAAAACGTATGGCTTGTATGGTTCCAGTTTCTAGGAGAAGATTCATTCGGGTTTTGCACATTTGGTGAGAAGGGGGAGAGCAGGGTTAGTAAGTGGAGTGAAGCCCTGAAAATCACATGCCGAGTTAGTAAGTCAGTAACCCATAACTGCTGAAACACAGACCTGAATTCGAAGCTACACCATATATAGCTGGCCTGCTACCTCCTACTACAAGTCCAGTGACATCCCGTCCACTGACCACCCATCTCCTGCCGACGGGACCCTTGCCAATTTTTGGCAGGGACCTTTTGAACTACCGGCAAGGGTTGTATGAATAATGTGAAAGGGCTCTGCTCTCTCTCTCTCTCTCTCTCTCTCTCTCTCTCTCTAGCGTGTATACACACATCACGGTTGCTTTCTTTTTTTTTCTTTTTTTTTGTGCGCATGCATCTGTGATTAACGCACCGTGCAGCGCACGTCATCTACGCGCCGCAAGTATGGTTCAGAGTCTTCAGACCATTTCATAAGTCTCTCCTCCCTTGTCGATCGATTCTACCTCCAGTTTCTAGCTCCTATGCGTATGCGACAGTACTCGCTATCAATCAACACTAACATTCGATAGAAAAAATCAAAGGCACACCCATCCCTTGATTCACATTAAACAATGATGACAGGTGGCACCCACAGCAAGATCCCTGTCTAACCCATTGAAGATATCCAGAAGGTCGACAGAGCCGCCGAGTTAGGCGGGGATTTGACCACCACACACGCAGCAGTTGCCATGCTCATCGAAACGTCCACGACATATTTTGCAGTCTCCACAAACACTTGTCCATCTGTGACAGACTGACTATGCCAAACTGTTCTGAGCAATGACAGAGGAAAAGTGGAGACACTGCCCAAGTGAGCTGCGGCATCAACAACACCGTGATTGTTTTCCTAGAAAGGAAATTCTTCCTTCTAAAAATGCTGAACTTGTCCGCCCTCGTCAATATCAGGGTGGTCATGAGTTCTATCTACATCATCAGCACTAATTTCAACTAAACTCTCATCTGTGTTCCTCTTAACAGTCAGCATAAAAACTTAAAAAGAGGCCTCTTAAAAGAATGTGCAAAAATCGCGCTGCAAAAAATATGGACTCGTCACTCGTGAAAATTGTGACAATACGTCGCCTGGAATCCAAGATTCAATCATAAGATTGAGAACAGCTCCATCATTTAAAGGTGGCTCTAGCCTCCAGGACCTTCAGCCTCCAGCACACCATGAAAGACACCAAACACTACAACCCGGTCTGAAGCACTGCATGAGTGGCAAACGGGATTTACAAATGGGTTGGTATGAAACCCACTTACTTGCAGCTTTTCTTAGCAGACAACCTTGGCAGTGTTGGCACACGCCTCATGTAAATGTGAACAACGATGTCTCCAAATAACACAGGTATGTCAACATCAAACAAATGTGCGACAACCTGGCGCACGCCCTATGAAAATGTGAGCACAGTCACAAATGCTAGAACATCAAAAAAAAAGAGAACGCAGGTATGGCAACAAATGTGCGACAACCTGGCACACGCCCTATGTAAATGTGAACGCAGTCACAAATGGTCTATGTAATTGTGAACGCAGTCACAAATGGTCAAACATCAAACAAAAAGAGAACCTGGGTATGTCAACGCCTCAGCAATGCGCACACAAGCTTGGCCAGATTGTGTGTGTGCATGTGTGTGTGTGTGTGTGTGTGTGTGTGTGTGTGTGTGTGTGTGTGTGTGTGTGTGTGTGTGTGTGTGTGTGTGTGTG